TTCCCAGCCTCACTGGTGACGACTATGCCCGGTTGCAGTTGGCTGTGCATTGTGGAAATGCTGGAGTTCATAATCTTCCCCAGAGGTAGTAGGATGGCTCTGACAAGTTGATCTGGATGGCACCGTATCACAGCAGCCAGGCTCTGGAGCGGGGCTTTCAGCTACACAAGATATGGCATCACATCTCATTGGCATCACCACGTTTCTTGCATCACTTGTCCCAATTCCCATTGCAGATGGCTCTGGATGCAGTTGAGCCAGGCCTGTTAAACAAACCTTCAGTTGGCAAGTCAGGTGAAGCTGCCCCGGGGAGCAAGTAGTTGCCAGTGTTTCACTTGCATGTCATCACAAACCCTTTTGTCCTGGTCCAGCTTCTGTTTCAGGTTTTCTATGTACTGGCACTGGATGGCATCTTCCACGGTTCTCTCTTGCTTGGTTCTGATTCTCAAAGTAATGAATGTGCACTCTGTGTGCGTCACCTATGGTACTAGGACTCCCAGCTCCTAGCATTCCTAGCACTATGTCCAGCAGCAGCTGATAAGCTTCTCCAATCATGTAAAATTGCTAGCACTAGACCAGAGTGACGCATCCAGATCATCTCCCTCTGTTATTGTAGTGTCTGTTCTACAGCAGCATAGCTGCAGCACCCGTGGAGAACATGTCCTAAATACACATTTTGAACTAGTCTCCAAATGATCATATACTGTTTCTCAAGTTCCATACATACTTTTCCACTGCCTGACTAGGTAGCATTTTTTTTGTCCTTGCATGTTCATGATTGTCATAATGGTCACTATCTAGTATATATTTGACTGATAGTGTCAGTCTGTCCATTAAGAACTCCGCAACGGTAAGAGCTAGAACCACCAAATTCTGTAGGCAGCTTCCTCTTATCAAAACAAAGCAAGGTCAGGTTCTGGTTGTCAGGAAACTGATGCCTGGAATGGGTTTGCTTTGCATAAAACTATACAGAATGACAAGACAGGTGAAAGGGGCTGGTGGGTGGCATCCCTGCCCCCCCTCCCCCCAGGCACCCTTCAGGGAGGGCTGAAGCTCCCTCTTCCCTCCCAATTCATCTGGAAACATTGCTGGCTGTTCACCCACGGGGAAGTGCACAGTTTGCTAGATTCCCTCACTCTAGCTGTGGAGGTGGGGGGGAGAGTAGAGAAAGAGAAAAAGAGAGAGACAGACAGACGAACCTGCACCTGCCCCACTCAGGTGGCATGCACACCTCCCCTGGCTGTCACCAACGTAGTTGTCATGGAGAGACATTTCTCCCTCCGCCCCAAGCTGCTGTGGTAAGGACTACCCCAACCCTCTCTTTCCCCAGGGAAGCCTGCATACTGAACCCCTTCCTCCTAGCTCCACCAATTATTTAAAGGAAGGAAAACAAATTAAGTTAAGAATCAGAGCAATTCCAGCTAAATCTACTAGTGAATTTATAAAAGAAAGTTATGAGCATTCTCTCCTTTCTAAATTACTGGTGTGTATTTTGTTAGTTTTGTCACTGAGGGCGTACAATACAATCACCTTTTCAACCTGCATCTACTACAGGTAGCATTCAGGGAGTCAAACGAATTAGAGAGTCATCCTGAATAGGAAGGATATAAATGATTACACAAACACACTACAGATGAATCTAAGGACAACTTACTGTGTACTTGATTTTTAGCAGACTGTTTGGCATAAGCAGATTAGTGGAAAGCGTGATGAGCTACTGAATGATCCAGAAAAGGTAGGTCAGGAACATCAGCTCTCTCTCTCCCATATAACACAAGAGTAACAGAATATTCAGTGGGGAATTTTAAGTGTAGCATTCACTGCCACAAGAAGCCACTAATGTCAATAAGCTAACAAGATTCAAAACATGATTGGCTATTTATTTGGCTATTAAGAATATCTATAGTTAACACAATTTTACCGAAGTGATAGTAAACCATTTGATTTAAGGCTTAAACCAATCTCCAAATATTAGGGATCGTAAAGGGGAGCAGATTATCCCATATCTTCCTACTGCAGAATTCTTACACTTTCTCTGAACCCTATTAAAATAGTATACTCAACTAGATGAAAATCAGATCTGATCTAGCATGGCACTTCTAGCAGGGATGTGAATGTGTACCCATGGTACACCATTAATCAATGAGCCTGGGCATTACCCAATGAGCTCCTGGTTACATGAAGCTCCACCTGCCTCATTCCATGCTGCTGCATCTTTATCCCATAAGGCAGGGGAGGGGGGGAGGAGAAAGAGGGGGAAGAGACAAGCGGAGCACTGGATCCCACAGAGTTGCCTGCCTCATATGCTGCTGCCTCTGATAAATGCATTTTAACATCCCTACTTCCTAGGTGCTAAAAATATAAGAAAGGTTGTAAGAACTTGCAACTATTCAGTTAACAACTACCACAATGCATTTTTAGAAGGATAGAGATAAGATTAAACATTGAACTTCATGTTGTCATCGCCTTACTTGACTATTTAGCCACACAATGCCAAATCCTGTTTTTTCCCCTCTTTTGCAAAGTTTCAGAGCTAAACAGCTTTTACTTTACAAGATGTGTGGTAAGTAAGAGAAGATATTTGCCTCATTCACTGCATGCCATCACTAGTTTTTTCCATATCTCCTTGTCAAATTTCAGGTTTGGCTCCCTAGTTGTTCCAACAGTAAGGCTGTCTGAAAACTAGGGCTGTAAGTGACTAGTCAGCTACCCGATAAGCTTAGGCTTATCAGGTAGTCAAGTTACTATTCAACTACAGGCAGTCCCCGGGTTACATGGATCCAACTTACATCAGATCCCTACTTACAAACGGGGTGAGGCAACTCCGCACTAGCTGCTTTTCCCCCTAGCAGACCAGGGAGACGCGAAGCTAGCGCCCCACCCAGCAGACCAGGGAGACGCGGAGCGGCTTTTCTCAGCAGACACCTCAGCTTGAGAATAAAGGACTGAGGGAAGTGAGGTGTGGGAGAATAAAACTGAGCTCTGGAGAAATGTTTGGCTAGAGTTTCCCCTACAATATGTACCAGTTCCGACTTACATACAAATTCAACTTAAGAACAAACCTACAGTCCCTATCTTGTACATAACCCAGGGACTGCTTGTAGTTGCTTCCCCCCATCCCTTGCGCATTGGGGAACCCAGGGGCACAGGGCAGGGAGAGCCAGCTTAAAAGCCAGCTCCCCCCTGCATTCTCTCTGCAGGGATGGCAGGGAAGGCAGAGGTGCAGCCAAGAATATGGGGTGAGCGGAGACTGCGCTGGGTCACAACTGCTGCACCGCCATCCTGAGGCACAGCAGTCAGGATCTGGGGCTAGAAGGTACTGCTTGAGTCCCCCCTTGCTCCGGGTTCTCCACTGCACCTCTTCCTTTTAAATGCTGTAAAAACCCTGCAGGCAGCTCTTACTACATTTAAAAGGCAGAGGCACAGCAGGGATAGCGAGTGCCCCGCCCCACCCCACCACCCCTTATCCACTACTCATTACTTGATTAATCAAAATTTAACATCCCTACTGAAAACAAGACTAAACTTAACAATGCTTTTAGTATCCGTGTCCTTCAAATGCTGAACTGTTTTTGATCAAACTATGCCAAAGAAAATTCAGTTTTAGTTAGAGACCTAGACTGCAAGTGATCAGCCTAAACAAATAATTGAGTGATTGTAGAGAGCACATTGGAATGAGAACAGTAGTGCCATCCTAATCATACCTTAAGTATTACCAATACTTTTACTGTGCCACTCCTGCTACTAGCAAGCAGCACTTAAAACTTCAACCACGAAAGCATTATTAGGGAACCACAATGATAAAATACATACATCCAAAGTACATTCAAATATTTTGTTGTCAAATTCAACAGTACCTAGATAATTATTAGTGGATTAGTGGTTATAATGTGCACTGACAATTTACATGTTAGTCAAGAAACTCAGAAAGATTTATGAACATGCATTAACCCCAAGGAGGACAGCAAACATTCTTCTGCCCATTTCACAGATAGGCAAAGAAATAATGGGCCACATTTTCTCCTTAAACATCTTTGCATCAAAGTTAGCCACTGTAGTTTCAGGAGATTCCCTACATTTCCACAGCAACCTAGCTAAGGACTGAACTGGACCAGACCCAGTAACATCAAGATAAAGGAACGTCAGCCTTAACAACACCAACACCAACACCACCACCACCCACCCACCCACACACACCCCACCACGCTTAGAGATTACTGCGCCTCATCCAAAGCATAAACAAGGTCTCAGCCTCCACACAAGCGAGCTCAGCGCCTCCAGCTACAGGCTGAGCAGAGCACGGTGAAGGGAACGAGCTGCCTAATGCAACAGTGACATTGCCGCAGGAGAGGGGCAGTTACACGCTAGCCCTTGCCGTGGTTTGCCCAGCAGCGGTGCCTGAGCACGGATAACGTTTTACGGCACTTGCCCGTGCCCAGGGCACGCGGACACCGACCGCCCCTGCACAGGAACCGCCCTACCCCCCACTCCCGCGGCGCAGACCCCTCCCGGATCATCCTACCCCGCAGAGAGGGGGCCTGTGGGCGGGGCCGCCCCTCCCACCTGGGAGCCCGGGCCTGAACGATAAGGCGCCTGCCCCTCACCCCAGCGCAGCAAGGCCAACCGCCTCCCCCGGGCCGGGCCCGGCCCCACGCAGCGCTGCAGCCCCCGCCTGCGGCCCGCCTGAGCCTCGAGCCGCCACCTCCCAGCCCAGCTCCTGGCTCGCAGCCCAGCCCCGCTCACCATGATCGCCTGCAACCCGCGGCCAGCACCAGCCCTAGCCCAGCCAGCGTCCCTCAGTCATGTGACTCCGCAGCCCCCTCTGCAAGCCCCGCCTCGCCACCACAGCGGTCCCTCGTCATTGGCCGCCTCCGAGGAAGTCAAAGGATCAAGGCTGATTGGTTCTCAGTGAACCACGATTGACGCGCGGGGCAGCCAATCCGCTTCAGGAACGCCCCCCGCCAAGGCGGGGGCTCACCCCCCCGCGCTGGGCGCGCACGTCGCGCTTTCCAGACACGAGCGGAAAGGGCGGGGCCAGCTGTGGCGGGCGGCGCGCGGGCATGCAGCCCATGGAGCCCGGCGTGATCCAACGGCTGGCCCCCAAGCTGGGCATCGCTGAGCCTGGAGTCCTCAGGTAGCGGGCGCTGGGCACGTGACCCCAGTGCCCGGCGCGGCCCCAGCGCCCGCGCGCCCCCTGAGTGTCCTGGGCTGGAATGGGAGCCCGGGGCTGTAGCCCGTTCCCGTCGTCCCCAGCGAGGGGGCGGGTTAGCGCTGCGTCCGGGAGGTGGCGGGGTTGTGGGGAGGGGGGACAGGTCCCTGTGTGAGGGGAAGTCCCTTGGGAGCGACGGGAGCCAGCCTGTTAAATAGTACCGGGGATGTTAGCCTGGCGCGTTTACACTGTAATTACACTAATTCGGAGCGGCGCGATTCGATTGGTCTTTATCACGTCAGCAGGCCTGGGTTTGTTTTTAAATAAAAACGCTTAGACTGTGACAGTGGCACAAAATTATGCGTTTTAAGCTTGGTTTAGATTAAGTTTTCACAGTTGCAAGAAATTATGCTGGGATCACCTGGGTCAGACAGTCACTTAATGACAGGAGGAGTTGATTCAAAAAATGAAAGCTTCTGTAACCATTGGAAAACATTGGCAGCATCACATATCACAATATCCAAAGTAAATCAAATGGAAGTTATCAAGCAGCATTTTTCATACAGCCATCTGGAAATGTTGATTGTTGGTGGAAATGTGTTCAGTCAATTTGCATGTGTACAAAAACCAAAACCTGTTTTCACTTGTTTTAAACTTTTTTTAAAAATCACTACAAAACTTTATTTTAAAATTGATCTTTATTCATCGTAAGTAAAATCAATGTTTACCAATAAAATGCAGTCCTTCCCAAGCCCAGTTTTAAAACTTAACTTCATGGTCTACATCATGACAGCTCTTCCATTAATGCAAGGGACTGGACTTGATGACCTCTTGAGGTCCCTTCCAGTCCTCTGATTCTATGATTAGTAGATCTCAATATGCTTTATAAAGGTTCAATACTTTCCCATCTGTAAAATGGAGATAAGACAGAGTAATGTCTGACTGAGTCTGTAGAGAGCCTGGTATTTATATCTCTGATGTGTCAAATGCCCTATTTATTTCAGTGAATGATAACTTAAAGATGACTAATAGCAGGGGTGGGGAAATACCCGCTCATAGGCCAATCCAGTCTCCAGGGTTAGCCCATAGCAAGCCCCCACAGTACATATTTACCTGCCGCAGCTTCTATTGGCCACAGATCTCTGCTTCCAGACAATGAAAGCTGTGATTGCCTGTACCCAAGGAGGCTCTGGTCAATATAGCAGCAGCAGCCCACCAGGGGATAACCCTGGTGAACCGCTGCTGTTTTATTGCCCACCCCTGAATAACAGTGTTGAAATTTAAAATATCTGACTGGTCAGAACATTTAAGAATGAGGAAGAAGTATGCTACTATGACAATAAACATGTTGGCTACGTCTACACTGCAGGCTTTTTGTGCAAGAACAGCCATTCTTACGCAAGAACTTGCAGAGAATCTACACTGCACGCATGTTCTTGCGCAAGTAAATTTATAGTAAAGCATCAGAAGAGAAGGCTTCTTGCGCTAGAGTTATTCCTCTCCCAGAGAGCTCTTGTGCAAAAAGGCAGTGTGGACAGGCAATAGGGGTTTCTTGCACAAAAAAACCCTATGGCTAAAATGGCCATCAGAGCTTTCTTGTTTAAGAGAGTGTCCACACTGCCATGGATGCTCTGGCACAAGCACATCTCTTGTGCAAAAGTACATGACAGTGTGGACGTGCTCTTGCGCAAGACCTTTTACACAAGAACTCTTGCACAAAATAGTTCTTGTGCAAGAAGCCTGCAGTGTAGACGTAGCCATTATGTCTAAACAGACCACAAAACCTCACTAACCCACTCATAGACCCCAACCTCTGGCTAAGTTACTGAAGTCCTCAAATCATGGCTTAAAGACTTCAAGTTACAAAGAGTCAACCATTTGCACTAGTTTAAACCTTCAAGTGACCAGTGTCCCATGCTGCAGAGAGAGCCTCCTCCCCTCCCCCAGAAAAAGAAAAAAGCAGGGTCTACCAATCTGACCTAGTAGAGAATTCCTTCCTGACCAATGTTCCCTTGTTTTTTTTTTCATCCATGTGCAAAATCATTTGATGTGCACCACGGCATATGTGAATGTGCACCACCAGTAGAAACAAAACCTATTTGTGGAGTTCTCCTAATCAGCTAGACAGTATTTTAATCTCTCCTGAGCAGCTGCACGATCACACAGCCTGGAGGAACACCGTTCCTGACCCCCAGAATATGATGATAAGTTAGACCTTGAGCATGTGGGTAAGACCCACCAGCTAGATACCTGGGAAAGAATGTTTGTTGCCAAGTTTTAAAGAAAGTCATACTGCTGAACTGATGGAAGTCATTGGCTAAGCACATGGAATCAGAATTTGTTGAAGTGCTAAATCAGCTTTTCACAGCTGTAATTTCTGTTTTCTTCATTTCCGTTTATTGAACTAGTTTAATTCAATAATGAGTGCATTTTAAAGCTAAGACACCAGTTGGGAATTAAGCAGGAAAGCTTTTTTGCTCTTCCAATCTCTGAATGAAAATGAACTGAGAACATCAGGTCTTGTAATTCTAAAGTCTTGAAGGACATAGTGACCAGCAATGTCAGTTAAAGTAACTATGGATAATTCTTCCTTTATTTACCGTAATAAGTTTTCAATGCAAAACAGTTTTGATAAAAGTTCTGGACACACAAATTTGTTAGTTTTACTTAATAAAAACATTGAAAATGCTGGTTTTGTGCAACTTTAGCTGTTCTGAATTTCTGTTCAAATATAATTTGACCCAATCACAAGTAAAAATGTATCACAATTTAATTTGAAATGAGACAGTTCATGCATAGAGTGGCCCTGAAATAACGAGGGGCATGAATTATAACAGATTTAGTTACTTCAGTTCCAGTTTGTGAGTAGACTAGTCTGTCTAGTCTGTTCATATCCCCCTCTCCTCCCTCAAAATAAAAGGTTCTTTAGATTATAGCCAGCTGGCAGAGTTAGAATAAAGATGAATTGTTGCTCTAACTTAATTATGAAGTGGCTCAAAGTTCTGCATGTGTGTAATGGTTATTATTGTTAAATCAAAGTGTGTGTGTGTGTGTGTGTGTGTGTGTGTGTGTGTGTGTGTGTGTGTGTGTTTTCCCCTGTTACATTTGATTATCATAAGATCTATGATTAAACCCAGTCTCTTGACATTCCTCCATTGCATAATCCAGGTGAAGGGGTATATTTTAAATGCTACTCAAAATTACTTTTAATTTGTTTTAACTAATGTTTACCGTTATCCATAGGCTACAGGATGCTACAGCACATACAATTATGCAAACCAAGCTGCTAGTGCTTCCAGACACATGTCACTGACATCCCATTTATCTCAATCTTGATTTAAAGCAGACAGTCCTGGATGTGCGTGTTTTAATTCTTGCAGATGTAAATGCCACAAATCTGTAACCTCGGTGGTATTAACAAATGGTATTTTGTGTGTGCTCATGTGGGGATGTTTTACAGAAAAGCAGAAGAATATATGCGACTGTCGCAGGTGAAGTGTACAGGATTATTGGCTCAGATGACAGCAACAAGCAATGCGGTGATGTGCCTGGAACTAGCAGCTGGCTATATGCAACATCCAGTGGACAAAGTAGGATACGATACATGACACAGTTCTTTGTTTGTTCTTCCTAACCCTTGCTAATGCCAATAAAACTCCCATAGTGTTCGGTGTATATCAGTGGTTCCCAACCTGTGGTCCGGGTCCATGGAAAGTTTAAAACAGAAATTAAAATAAATGTACAGAGCTTTTCATAGCTAGCACATCCTTCAACTCACATTGCTTCCTACAGCTCGGGAAGCAGCGTTGGCTGAGGGACATAATAGCTGCCAGCAAGGAGCCTCTCAGCTCCCAGCCATGGGAGCACAGCTTAGAGGTTCCATCCCAGCACCTAGCAAGTCCCTCAGCCCGAGCTGCTTCCTAAGTGGGCTGAGGGACATGGCTCGAGAAGCATTGCGGGCTGAGGGACATGGCTCGAGAAGCATTGCGGGCTGAGGGACGTGGCTCGAGAAGCAGTGCAGACTGGGGACGTGCAGGCTGCAGGCACAGCTATATTGTTTGGGGGGGGGTCCATGCAATTTTAATAGATTGAAAAGGAGTCCTTATGCTCATAAAGGTTGGGAGCCACTGGTGTATATGATGAGGCAGCAAGGAAAGACTACTAAATTCCTGTTTTTCACCATATGGACCAGTCTACAATACAGATGCAACAGTATAGTCAATTAACCAATAAGCCAAAGTTTATCAGTTAATACTATAGACTACACGCATCCTCCTGCTAGTACATTTTTTAGTAGGCTGGCCAGCAGCCTGGTTCAGTCTGGGACCTACCCCTGCTGCGGGTCTGCATTTAAATTGTATTTGGACCCAGGCGGGCAGGCAGCTGGCTCAGTTCTGGCTTGCACTGTGTCCGGGAGCTCAGAACCTCTCCCCACCCCCAGACAGGGGCTGCTGCTACCCGGCACTGCTGCTTCTGTATCAGAGGCAGCAACACAGGGCAACAAATAGCTGGTCCATGAGGGGAGCTGGGTTTTAAACTGGCTCCACTCGCAAACCAGCTCCCGCCTGGCACCTAGAGTGGCAGGGGGCTTCTCGGGAGTGGGGCTGGAGTACACTGGCTGGTTGCCCCACTCCCATGGACTATAGAATAGTCGAGTAACTGATAAGAATTCACGAGGTTAATGGACTATTCGATTAACCGATATTTAACATGCCTAGTCTGCAACTGGGTCCTTCCAACAATCCAGTGTTGTTCCATTTTTCATCAGAGATTAACAATGGAAAATTAGACTAGAGTCTCCCTTACATTCTGGTGTGAATTGACTTCTGCTACCCCTGACTGAGGGTTCTATAAGGGTGGCAAACCATAAGTCTGTATGCTCATTTATTGTGCAAAGTGATGCAAGGAGGCTCTTAAAGCTACCAGAAGGGAGCGATGATTTTACATATATCCGTCTGCCTCCTGGAAGCCTGTGGAATGTCAAGCAAGACATTGTTCCCACCATCCCCAAAAACCAAAAGGACAGAAGATATAGCTGATTTTTCATATAATCTTTAGTAGATTCCTCCTCCGTACATGAGGGAAGTTTCCATTGCTAGATTCTGATGAGTAGTACTGACTTTTCATACAAATGCTCACTGATCCTGGTATCTTAGCTCTCTAAAAGGCAGTTAAAAGGGCCAAGTCATTTTCCAAACAGCCTCACCATTGTAACTTCTAAAGGTACCTCTCTGTTGAAATGTGGAGTTCCTTTGCCAATGTGTATTTTTTCCTTTTAGGCTCAAATTTGTAACAGATGTAACCAAAGAGCAAACAATAACAAAACTATTTAAAACAAAATAGAAGATGGCTTAACTAACCTATTCTACTTAGATAAAATACCAGAAGAGAAATTCTGCTTACACGTGTGGTTTTGTTTTGTTTTGTTTTGTTTTGGCAAAGAACTACTTAGTTAAACTCTCCGGTTTAAACAAGAGGACTTACCAGAGCTGTATGAAGTCTTTTGAATGTTTGCTAGGTTTGAACTCCAATCTGGGAATCCGAGATCTTGCGGTACAGTTCTGCTGTATGGAGGCAGTGAATACCGCTTCAACAATACTGCAAAGGTATGGCATGTAACCTTTTATTGACATCAATTCTATTAAGGGGGAAATGCATTCTTTGTGTTTACATAAGACGGCTCTTTAAGTGTTAAAAGCCTGATTTTCAGAGTTACTGAGCTCCCATTGATTCAGTGAGTGTTGAGTGGTAAACACTTCTGAAAATTAGACCATTTATTTAGAAACCTATGTGTGAAAAATTTAAACTACAGGCAGTCCCCGGGTTACGTACAAGATAGGGACTGTAGGTTTGTTCTTAAGTTGAATTTGTATGTAAGTCGGAACTGGTACATATTGTAGAGGAAACTCTAGCCAAACATTTCTCCAGAGCTCAGTTTTATTCTCCCACACCTCACTTCCCTCAGTGCTTTATTCTCAAGCTGAGGTGTCTGCTGAGAAAAGCCGCTCCACGTCTCCCTGGTCTGCTGGAGGGGGGGGCACTAGCTTCGCGTCTCCCTGGTCTGCTGGGGGGAAGCAGCTAGTGCGGGGTTGCCTCACCCCGTTTGTAAGTAGGGATCTGATGTAAGTCGGATCCATGTAACCCGGGGACTGCCTGTATCTGGGAACGAACTACAGGATTCCTGACTCCGACTTAAGTTTCCTACCCATGCTGACTCTTATTTGATCCTGTCTGTAGCCCTTCTTCAGTCAACTCTGCAATTCCATGAGATACATACTGTGCAAAAGAAATTACATGTCTAGAGAAATGTAACTATTCAAAAGTTATTGCTTTTTTTTTTTTTTTTTTTTTTTTTGAAGCTGTTGAGTAAAAAACTTTACAAGATTAAGAGTCCTTTCACATAAAACCCTTTTCCCTGTGTAATATCCACATAAGCAATTATGGAGAAAAGGGGAGAATAATGGAGAAAAGGGGAAGCCAACACTAATGGATATCTATCAGAAAATAGAAATAGAAAATTGATCAAGGGACACAAGGAGAAATCTATTGCCAGCCGAATTAAGGAGGTTTTTTTTTAAATATATTAGGAACAAAAGGAATCCTAACTATGAGTTTGGTCCATTGGAAAATGGTAAAATCATCAACAATAATGCAGCAAAGGCAGAAGTGTTCAATAAATATTTGTTCTGTATTTGGGAAGTGGGAACAGATTATGTAGTCATACCTTCTACTTAGCATATGTGCTACATGCCAGTGTTTAACTTCTTGCTGAGCTACTAGTGGAATAAAAAGCTATATCATATATAGGGCCCTACCAAATTCACAGTTCATTTTCATAGGATTATAAAAATGGTACATTTTGCCTATTTAAATCCGAAATGTCATGGTGTTGTAATTGTAGGGGACCTGGCACAAAAAGGAGTCATATGA